ATCAACATTACGTCCTATGGTACCCTTACCCTAAACTGAGAATGCCTCAAAGTACATTAAAACTGGTGATGCTACACCTTACACAACAGGAAACTATGCTATTGGCATCAAAGGTTGTTCCTACCTCTACTTCCACCATATAACTCCACTGAGAGAATACCTCCGAATCACAACCTTACAACCCCTCCCCCAATTTACACTCATGAGCGATTAAACTCGTCCTCGTCAAGCATACACCACACACTCCAAAATTCATTCCTCTGGGAGACGATCCGTTTCTACCCCCTGAAACTACAGTCGCCAACAATCCCCCATGTGAAAAGCACTGAAAATCCGTAAAATCCTTCGCTCCCACCTACCACCGTACATCCCTTTTAAAATGCAACATTTATATTATAAAAGTTGCTGCTAATGCCCCCTATCTTTCTCGTACCCGTCCCATTCTCCTGCGACGTCATGACATGTAAACAAACTCAACCAATAACGTTAAGCCAACGCCCATTGAAACCCTGTTCTCCACCCTGCCCAGATCTAAAACTTAAGAAGCCTTAGAACTAACAATCCACCCCCCCCACTCAGTCCGAAACACTTTCCCCAACCATTCCCTCCCGACTCCTAAACGCTATACAAGAAATAAAACACATGGAATGCAGTCCCCTCTTCCTCCTCCCAATAGGAACAAACGCGCCACACTCCAACGAATGCGTCTGTTCTTTAAGATTCAATCCCTGGAGAAGGATGCCTGTAGAATCCGAAACATCACTTCCCTCATACGTGAACGTAAGTGCAATCTCTTCAAATGCAGCCAAATGCTGACCACGCTCCACAGGGCCCTTTCCCCCCCACAGGATGTTGCTAGAAACCCCCTTTCTACTGCCGACCCCCATTTTGTTTTCACGGCTGAAAAAAATTCCCAAAAATACTTAAAGTCCGAGATCCTTTCCCCCTCCACCACCCTATATTTCTCTCATTTCACACAGCCCCCCCCCCCCCCCTTTCCCCATACCTCACCTGAACTCATCTTGTTTAAACTCGCTTTAACCATTTCCCAGGAAACAAACCCCCCGCCCCCCTTCACTGAAGTGTTACTACCTCCCCCCTTTAACCAGTCACACCCCGAATCCCAATTTTTAAATTAAAAAACTTTACCCAATACCTGAAACCCCCAAGGGGAAAACCCCGCGCAACACCAAATTTTGCCATACAAAAGCGCATTCACCAAAATGCCCTCTGATGAAAAAAAGGGTGAGGCGTTCTCAACCAAATTCAACGCCCCACCCCTTATTCAAAACACCATGAATTTTCTTCCTGGGAAAAACCCCATTACCATTAAAACAATCCCACAAATCTTTAGTCGTCCCTACTCGCCCCCTTTTTCCCTTCACACATCTCGTCTCCCCCTCCCCCCCCACCCCCCAACCTAGAATTAGAAATTATCCACATTCACCTCATACCCTTCGCTGCCCCGAACACATCCACAATTCTCCCAATCACCTTAACCCTTCCCTCCCTCTCACTAAACCTTGTTTTAACGACAACCTTTGGGGTTTCCCCGGTTGCCCACCACTTCTTTTCCTTTCCCCACCCCCCAGGGACACATTCTCCACCCCCCAAAAAAAAAGGGTTCGCAAAAAACGAACAGGTTTTAAACAACAACCCCCTCAAACCCGTCCCAACCTCCACGCTTTCCCCAAACCTCCCAATGATTTGCACACACACCCCAAGCCCCCTTAATAACAACCACACCCCAGGGGAAAAATTTTCCTCTCCAAAACCCTGCCTTTCCCATAAATGCCGCAAACCCTAAAGTTTCCCAAACATCATAACCACCTCCCAAAAATCACAAACCCCCCCTTTCCAAATTTCTCACTCATACCCCCAAAAAAATGTCTTATTCCCCCCCAATCCCTCATACATAAATGCCAATTTGGGCCCGAACAATTACTTTTTTGATGACTTTCTTTAAAAATTTAACCAAAATTTTGGGGCAAAAAAATTAAAGCCCCACACAAAAGTAAATCATACGAAAAATCCTTGTTTTTTGGGCTGACAACACTATCGCCGTTGCCCTGTACCCCCTAACCCCCCCCCCCCGTGTCTTCATAAATTTTAAAAATAAGGTTACCAAAAAATCCCCAGGTTGCACAAAATTCACTGGGAAAACCGTCAATCCCGGGAACCTTCCTGGGACACAAAACCCATTAAAAAAAACCCTCCCACCTCCCATGTTTGGCCCCACCCATCACCCCCCTATCATTTCTCGGAACACACACTCAAACCTTTCTCCCATCTCCGTTAAAAGCCCCTCACTTTGTACCCACACTGCCCCCATGAACTGAAACCCCAAAGACCCCACTACCCACCCATCCCCCATTTGAAAACCAAAATTCGTGCCCTCCAATACCCCTGCCATTGAAATGCACACCCCAGAAAATTTTTTTTCCCGGGGCCCATACGCGGTCGCTCTGCCCTGCAGGACAAGTGTTTATGGCCCCTACCACCCCATAAACCTCTTCCAAATCCCCCCTAACCCAAAACCCCCAAAAAAACCTTTTTTTTAGTAGGCCCCCTGAGTCTATTTTTAAAATTTTACATATCCCCCCTTTGGATACCCTCCCCCCCCCCCCATTGATAGCATACCCAAATTGCCCTTCGATATACCAATAATCCAAAAACCCTTTTTATTTCCCCGGGACGCTCCAGATAAATTTAAAAATTCCCTACCTCGACTTTGAATTTGGGTCCCACCATCCAACACACCCCCTTTCCCTCCCCCCCTCCCAAAATTTCCCCCCAAAACCCGAAAATTTAAAATTTCCCCCCCACACCCCGGGAAAGAGTCTACTTTTAAAATTCTAAAAACCCCTATACGTATTTGGTAAACCCCTCCCCAAATCCAAAGTCCCAAATGATGCCCCTATGATCCGAAAGCCCCCCCATCCAAAACCCGACATTTCGTTATCACCACGGGTTTAGAAATATAAAACTATCCACCCGAGTTTGCGTATCCCTGCCATAAAAATTTTGGGTTTTCGACTTCACTTCGTACCCCCTGCACTCCCCAAACCCCCTACTCCTTTTAATCATTCCCCCAACTTTCCTGAAAAAACCCCCCGCCCTCGGGTTTCCACACCCTTTGCACAAAAACACACATTTCCCAAATCCCCTCCCCCCCCGCAATTTCCCGGGCAACGATCGTAATTTTTTAAACCAGTAAATTTCCCAAACAATTTTTTTTTAACCCCCCCTGTCTCTCTCCGCCGGAAACCCTAAACACACACCAAAGAAACTCTCACCCTCCCCACGACCCCTCACACAAAAATCCTCTTTCCTTTCCCCTTTCCCCCTTCCCAAAGGGAAAAAGAAAAGGGGTAGTCTCCCTTTTTAAAAAAATTTCACACCCCCCCCCCTCAAACGTACGAAAGGCCGCAAAAGGGCAACAAACCCTCAACCACCAAAATACTCCAGTTTTTATTATGTTCCTGTACCAAAACCACACCCTCCCATCGTACCACAAATTTCTGTAACCGTCCCCGGGTTCCTTTTATTTCCCCCAAAACCCCTAACATTTTAAATGAATCTCTTGAAACTTTTAAAATTTAGTTTACCCCTTTTGCACTGTGGAACCTCTTTCCCCTTTCCTCCACATTCCCAAGGCCCTTTTACCACCTTTTTGGGCCCCTTTTAAAAAGGGCTTTTTTCCCCTTGGGGCCCCCCAGGCCCCCCCCAAACGATAAAAAGCCCAAAACCTTTCTTCCCTATACGGTTGGGGAGGGGCAAGCACGCCGGGCAAAGTCCGACGATGCACCGCCCTCTTCCGAGACCGGGTCCCCCTCCCCAAAATCTTTTTGAAAGCCCCACATGCACCTCCCTCCCAAAGTTTCATGCTCAAGGCTCCCCCCATACTGGGCCCCGACACCTCCTCCAAACCCCTTCCCCGGTGGGGGGAGCTGACCCATCCCAAAGGACAAAGGCCCCCCTACAGAACCCGCTCTTGGGGAACCCCAGGGCATGAATCATGGGGTCTAAGGGTTCCCACATCCCCTTCGTCCTCGAGTGGCCCCTTACCACGGGGGAAACCCGTGTCTTTCCCGTAGTTTTCCCGTCACCCGTCACGTGGGGCTTTCATCCAAACCTTTACAACCTTTGTCACCCCACCTCCCGCCCTTTTACCTCTGTCCCCCCGCAAGCCCCCCACAGGGGCCCCCCTTTTATTCCCTTTATGAAATTTCCCGGTTTTTTCTCCGGGTCTTGAAAGTTCCGACGACGAGGGCTTTTACTGCAATTGGTCCCCTAGGGGGCCCCCCAATCTATAAGTTTAGTTTTTTGCCCCGCGTATGTGACAAGTTCTTTCGTCCCCCGAAATCCTCCAAATTGCACATATGTAAAGGGTTTTCCCAGCTCACCTCACGGAAAAAATACCCTCAGGCTTCCTGCCCTATGATCCGACCTTTCCCTTTCCCATCGTCGCCCGGGTACAGTTCCGTTTTTCCTCAAATACACTCGAAACCGCCTCGTCCCCCGAACGGCACTTCCTAATTTTCACCCATGAAAAAACCGAGATACATCATTTTTTCAAACCCTTACCGCCCGGTTTCACCGTCCCTTTGACGTCCTTTAAATCCTATGACGATATCCTTGAAAAAACTGGTTTACAAAAATTTTTTCGGAAAATTCTTAGCCCCCCATTTAATTTTACCAGTAAGCTCTTTAGTCGCTATGCCCTACGTGTCCCGGGTATAGCCTAAAAGTACTGTGGGCCAATGGGAAAAACAGCCCCACAAACGACTTCAAAAGGGGCCAAATAGGTCCCCCGGGGCTGTGTCTCGCTATTTTTTTGGGAAAAACAAAATTTTTATAATAATAATAATAAAAATAAAAAATAATAAAAAAAATAAAACCCTTGGGGGCTTTTGCGCGTTTTTTTTTGATTAAAAATAATAATTATATCTTTATTTCTACAAGTACATTTTCAAGGGGAACAAGTACATTTACAAGGTATACAGACCATAGCTGACATCAATGACATACTACTATATAGAAAGTCCCTTGTTATGCTGAGCATTTCCCGCAAATTAGGTCAGTTTTGTCCCAGGATGTGACCCACACCAGTCCACTAACACCCAGGATGTGACCCACATCAGTCCACTAACACCCAGGATGTGGCCCACACCAGTCCACTAACACCCAGGATGTGACCCACACCAGTCCACTAACACCCAGGATGTGACCCACACCAATCCACTAACAGCCAGGATGTGACCCACACCAATCCACTAACACCCAGGATGTGACCCACACCAATCCACTAACACCCAGGATGTGACCCACACCAGTCCACTAACACCCAGGATGTGACCCACACCAGTCCACTAACACCCAGGATGTGACCCACACCAGTCCACTAACACCCAGGATGTGACCCACACCAGTCCACTAACACTATTTTAAATTGATGGGTGGACAGGGACAGCAGTTGTCTTATGGAAACACGTCCCTAATGTTCTTCAATCGTACCGGAGGAGATTCGATCTCCGGACCTCAGAGTGTGAGCTGAGTGCACTACCGATCGAGCTACGGGACACCTACTTCTATTGTAGACTACTGCAGTGTCTAGATAAGGGATTGTCAGAGCATAGATTGTGATCCAGTACTTGATGTTTTTTCACTGTCACAAACATGTATTCATGTTGGTCTATGAGTTGTATTTATTGCGCATTTATACAATACAGTTAATCTGATAAATCACTCAAGTGTTTCTCAACTATAATAAACCAAAATGTTTTAGTTAGCTTGTTTTAGTTTTGTAGGGGTAAAACTTGAAAACTTATCAAGATAAACGAGTGAAAATCCTTCCATAACAAAGTTTAGAATATAATTTATGGGTCTACAAAACGCAGATAGTATTTACTTAAATCCAAATGGCAGTGTTTCAAAATGAACAGCTGATCAGAATTCGACAATGGTATACAACGGTAACTGTCTAATATGTCTATTTTGCATCTGTAATACAGAACTACATAAGTGTCAACATTTTATGAATATACACTAAGATTTCGAGGATTGTCTTAAGTGGGCACAATTCACTCAACTCCCTGACCAAAATTATTGTTGAAAGTACTGGAGATTAACTCGGTCTTACTACATGTCAGTGGCCCATAGAGAACATTTTTTATTTTCCCAGTCTGTTTCCAGGTATCTTAAAATATTTTGTGGTCGTCCCTGATGTAAGGTACTCGTAGCTACTACTTAATAGCTCTGTATTTTAAAAGGTATATCTAACTGTTGTATCAAATTTACTGCAAGTCTTTAGAAGTGTAATTTTTAAGATATATTTTGCATGGGGGATTGTGCTAGCTGTAAGATGCGTTGTGACTCACGAAATCGTAATGACACGATTGTAAACAAACCATACCACGGGCGGGATTTGAACCCGAGGTCAGAGAGTCTCAAAACTCGTTGTCTGTGGATGAACTGTTGTTGGTATGCTTTTCTCACCCTGTTACTTGCAAATGAACAGTTCTTGTTGCCATAATCACCATTATGTCATTAATACCGATCTCATTATGGAGAGAAGGGTAACTGACAGCTTCACTTGCTGTCATGTTCACTGTCCTGTGGGGAAGGGAGAAGAATGGACATTGGACAACTTCCGTTGTTCTGTAACCTTTACCATTATTCCATAAACAAAAGCCTCGTTATTGTTACCGGAAAAACAGCCATTAGATTACTTTAGCTGTTCTTCCATATCCGTTATCACTTCATAGATATCGTTCTCACTGTTGTGAGGAGAAAAACGGCCATTGATTATGTCTTGTTGTCCAGAAGTGTTCGTTGTCACGTTGTTGACGTTGTCCTTGTGAGGCGACGCAGAGGCTGCAGGTGGGATCTCTGCCCACTCATCATATATATTTTCACCAGTAAATGATACGGGTGCCGCTCCCCGCAGAGAACTTGGATTATCTGGAATATAAAGACAATCAGGGCTTAACAATAGTAAGAAATAAGTGGAAAGCTACAGAATGTATTAATACATATAGGAAAATATATTACGGAAGGTTTTTGGGTAAACACTAAATTTTTTTTTCTACTGAAATAGCTAAATTATTGCTTATTTATAGACAAGTTAGGTGAGAGTATAGCACAAAGTTCTCTTTATTCATGATACATTCACTACTGCTGCCGCTATGAACAAGGGGGTGAGCAAAACTACTGTTAAATTTTGTCGAGATTGACTGGAGATGAACTAGCATCTTCATCCTATCATGCAATATATTGTAAAAGGAGTATGGTAGGTTGAACTGCCTACCTTGCAATTAAGCAGAGCTAAATGGACTCTGACAGAGCTTGCAAAATATTTCAAACCTAATATTACATAGAAATATACACAAATAACCCGCACTTAGAAGAGAGGAGCTTATGACGACTTTTGGGTCCGACTTGGACCATTTACAAAGTCACAGTGTGACTTTGTAAAGTCGGACCGAAACGTCGTCGTAAGCTCCTCTCTTCTATGTGCCGGTTATTTGTGTATTGTTCCAGTCGCGGTATTGTGACTTTTTTGTTATATAGAAACCCCGACATCACACTGGCCTCGTGAAGTATACGCACTAGGCTTGTGTGGAGTGGAGATTTCTGTTTACAATTTGGCTGAGCAACGGTGCTACGCACACAGATTTTGCCGAGTTGATATTGCTCTGAGTTTACTATTGAATGATAAAGAATTTAACCTTTATTCCAGCTTATGTACTTGCTCCTGTTTATACAATAACAGTGACAACAGATACAGTAACAACAACTACTAATACTGTTATTACTGCGAACAAAATGGTACAATACCGTGACTGGAACAATACACAGATAACCCGCACATAACAAAGAAATTAATGTCGACATTTTGGTCAGATTTGGAAAATTAACTAGTCACAGTGTGACTGGTTAATTAACTAGTTAAAATGTGGCTGCTTAACGTGCATAAATACACGAAAGCACTTCGGTTTCATTCTTATATTCACTTTGATATTACACACGTAAACAAAAAAATGGGGGAAGTCAAAGCCTCAGGGGATCAAAGGAAGATAGTTCTGTAAAGAAGAATGGATGAAAGAGCAATGTAAAAAGATGGAACGAGAGTGGGAGAGAAGATCAAACTAGGTGAGCTTTCTGTGACAATGGAGAAGAGGATGGAGACAGAGAAGAAGAAATGGGAGCCACAAGCTGAAGCCGCAGAAGCCAGGATACAGGCCCTAGAATATGAGGTAACTATGCTGAAGTGATTTGCAGGGCTATTGCTCAGAGAAGACATGGCATCTGAAGGAGGCAAGACTTATGCTAAGGCCCTCACAGTTCACCAAGGAAGGCCAGGGATTGAAGGGGGAGAACTGCTGGGAGCAGGGATAGCAGTATGTGAGGGAGGAGAAAGTAAAGAAGGTGACAGGGCCACGCAGACGCACGACCATGCCACCAAGAGTCACAGGAAAAAATAAGGGAGACAATATCCATTGATTGAATGTATGGCAACTCTGTGACTGAAGAAATACTTCTTAACATTTCTGTGACTCGTCTAATTCTTCGTCTTCCAGTTGTGACTTTGTTGCTGTGACCCATCTCTGTAACATCCTGTCTCTATCCACCTTGTCAATTCCTCTCAGTATTTTAAATATCGTTATCATGTCTTCCCTACCTCTCCAGTCCTCCAGTGTCGTCAGGTCGATTTCTCTTAACCTCTCGTCGTAGGACATTCCCTTTAGCTCTGGGACTAATCTTGTTGAAAACCTTCGTACTTTCTATAATTTCTTGATGTGCTTGACCAGGTGTGGGTTCCAAACTGGTGCTGCATACTCCAGTATGGGCCTGACGTACACCATGTACAGATTCCTGAGCGATTCCTTACTGAGGTATCGGAATGTTATTCTTAGGTTTGCCTTAGATGTGCTCGGTATTATGCTCACCCCAAGATCCTTTTCCTCGAGTGAGGTTGCAGTTTTTAACCACCTAGACTGTACTCTGTCCGCGGCGTTCTTTGCCCTTCCCCGATCTTTGTGACTTTGCACTTGGTGGGGGTTTAACTCCAGCAGCCAGTTGCTGGACCAGCCTTGCAGCCTTTCCAGATCCCTTAATGTATGTATGTATGTATATGTACGTATTTCTATACGTACATATAAGATTGACTGAGTCACTGATTAATTAATTGACTGGCTGATTAGTGGTTTGATTTCTTGATTATCTGCAACTCCTCCTCCTTCTACTGCTGCTACTGTTATTAAAATTACCTCTACTACTACTACTACTGCAAAAACTACTACTACTACTACTACTGCAAGAACTACTACTACTACTGCAAGAACTACTACTACTACTACTACTACTACTACTACCACTACTACTGCAAGAACTACTACTACTACTACTACTACTGCTACTACTACTACTGCAAGAACTACTACTACTACTGCAAGAACTACTACTACTGCTACTACTACTACTGCAAGAACTACTACTACTGCTACTACTACTACTACTGCAAGAATTACTACTACTACTACTACTACTACTGCAAGAACTACTACTACTGCTACTACTACTACTGCAAGAACTACTACTACTGCTACTACTACTACTGCAAGAAATACTACTACTGCTACTACTACTACTGCAAGAACTACTACTACTGCTACTACTACTACTGCAAGAACTACTACTACTACTACTACTAAATTTCCTATTTATAAAATGACTACTGCTTCAGCAATTACTGCTTGTACGACTACTTGCACTCCTGTACAACTACTACTGTAACTACTACTAATGTTACTTCTGCTACTACAACTACTACTATTACTACAATTGCTGCTACTACTACCACCACCACTACAACTACTGTTGCTACTTCTGCAACTATTATTGCTACTACTACTACTACCACTACTATCACCACCACTACAACTACTACTATTGCTACTACTACTACTACAACAAATGCTATGACTTCTACAAACCCTATTATCTCTACCACTGTTATCAGAACTTTTACAATTTAAAATACTCGAGGGATTAATATATTTTCCGCATTACACAATGCTTCCAAAAAAAAAAGAAAAATCTTCACTTGTCACCGGTAATTCCTCTGTTGTTAACTGACACCGGTAATTTGACTCTCTTTCAGTTTCACTCCCGGTAATTTGACTCTCTTTCAGTTTCACTCCCGGTAATTTGACTCTCAGTTTCACTCCCGGTAATATTTTGACTCATCTTCTTCAGTTTCACTCCCGGTAATTTGACTCTCTTTCAGTTTCACTCCCGGTAATTTGACTCTCTTTCAGTTTCACTCCCGGTAATTTGACTCTCTTTCAGTTTCACTCCCGGTAATTTGACTCTCTTTCATTTCCAGTTTTTCACCTCCCGGTAATTTGACTCTCTTTCCAGTTTCACTCCCGTTAATTTGACTCTCTTTCAGTTTCACTCCCGGTAAATTTGACTCTCTTTCAGTTTCACTCCCGGTAATTTGACTCTCTTTCAGTTTCACTCCCGGTAATTTGACTCTCTTTCAGTTTCACCTCCCGGTAATTTGACTCTCTTTCAGTTTCACCTCCCGGTAATTTGAACTCTCTTTCAGTTTCACTCCCGTAATTTGACTCTCAGTTTCACTCCCGGTAATTTAAACTCTCTTTCAGTTTCACTCCCGTAATTTACTCTCTTTCAGTTTCACTCCCGGTAATTTGACTCTCTTTCAGTTTCACTCCCGGTAATTTGACTCTTTCAGCTTCACTCCCGGTAATTTGACTCTCTTTCAGTTTCACTCCCGGTAATTTGACTCTCTTTCAGTTTCACTCCCGGTAATTTTGACTCTTTCAGCTTCACTCCCCGGTAATTTGACTCTCTTTCAGTTTCACTCCCGGTAATTTTGACTCTCTTTCAGTTTCACCTCCCGGTAATTTGACTCTTTTCAGCTTCACTCCCGGTAATTTGAACTCTCTTTAGTTCCAGTATTTCATCACTCCCGGTAATTTGACTCCTCTCTTATCAGCTTTCATCACTCCCGGTAATTTGACTCTCTTTCAGTTTCACTCCCGGTAATTTAACTCTCTTTCAGTTTCACTCCCGGTAATTTGACTCTCTTTCAGTTTCACTCCCGGTAATTTAACTCTCTTTCAGTTTCACTCCCGGTAATTTGACTCTTTCAGCTTCACTCCCGGTAATTTGACTCTCTTTCAGTTTCACTCCCGGTAATTTGACTCTCTTTCAGTTTCACTCCCGGTAATTTAACTCTCTTTCAGTTTCACTCCCGGTAATTTAACTCTCTTTCAGTTTCACTCCCGGTAATTTAACTCTCTTTCAGTTTCACTCCCGTAATTTAACTCTCTTTCAGTTTCTACTTCCCGGTAATTTGACTCTCTTTCAGTTTCACTCCCGGTAATTTGACTCTCTTTCAGTTTCACTCCCTGTAATTTAACTCTCTTTCAGTTTCACTCCCGGTAATTTAACTCTCTTTCAGTTTCACTCCCTGTAATTTAACTCTCTTTCAGTTTCACTCCCGGTAATTTGACTCTCTTTCAGTTTCACTCCCGGTAATTTGACTCTCTTTCAGTTTCACTCCCTGTAATTTAACTCTCTTTCAGTTTCACTCCCTGTAATTTAACTCTCTTTCAGTTTCACTCCCTGTAATTTAACTCTCTTTCAGTTTCACTCCCGGTAATTTGACTCTCTTTCAGTTTCACTCCCGTAATTTGACTCTCTTTCAGTTTCACTCCCTGTAATTTAACTCTCTTTCAGTTTCACTCCCGTAATTTACTCTCTTTCAGTTTCACTCCCTGTAATTTAATCTCTTTTCAGTTTCACTCCCGGTAATTTGACTCTCTTCAGTTTCACTCCCTGTAATTTAACTCTCTTTCAGTTTCACTCCCGGTAATTTGACTCTCTTTCAGTTTCACTCCCGGTAATTTGACTCTCTTTCAGTTTCACTC